GCATGAAAGAAGTATGACAAGAAGACAGCACAGATCAAAAGAAGGTGAAGCTGAGATTGATATTTCTCTTGCAAAGAGACGAGTCCAAGCTTCTGATATTGGAATTATTACATTACTCCATATTCTGTGCAAGTACTAAAGAGTATATTGTGCTCTAGCTAGTCAGTTCTCTTTCCTTGCTCTACTTCCATTCCTTTCAGGAATTGACCAATGCATGGATGGTTTGTTCTTTTAAATTTCAATTATTTTTCAGGTTGTCTTACTAAAAGGATGTTGCGATGCAATAAGGACAGTCCAAAGAACGTGGAAATCTCAACTTCTGATGGCTTCCAACGTCAAGAGAAAGAAGCCACTATTATTTCCATTTTTTGGTCAAACTATGCCAAAGAGGTAGTCTAAGCTACGGTTCTAACTCTTTTTTCCTTTGGTAGAACTCTAACTTGGAAATAAAATTGTATCATTTTGAATATGTTTAGTTGGAGTTTTCAAGTGACCATGGATGAATATAAATGCGGCTGAAACACAAGCAGGAAGAAATTGTTGCCCAGTCTGTGACACTGAAACAGTAAGAAGTGATGGATTCTTAAAATGATTCGTTGAGTACTTGAAGGAGCATGGCGAGTATATAAGTGGCTCAAACTACAATATGAACAAGTAAAGATCCTGATGGGATAAGATTCTTTGTCCCCAAGGGCATTTCAATTAATTGCCTAATATGCTACATCCACATCTTCAGGAGTTGAGGAATATAATTTCTGTATGTTATTTGTATGAAAAATCAACAGAAAAGTAAGGTGCCAGACCATCATGATCATCCCCTTTTGTCTCATGCTAAAAACTAGCGAGTAGGATGTGCATTAGTGGTGTATGCGGGTGTACTGATTGTTGTGAATTGAAGCTTGGAAGATGTAGTCTCCTGTTTTATTTTTGGAACTTCTGTGATGGTGTCTTTGAAGTGGCCTGATAAAGTTTTTACAGCAGTATATTGTATGGGTTGGAGTCCCTCTTTGTGCTCTCATTAAATGAAATCATTTTTGGTTGATCAAAAAAGGATGTGAATTATTCCAACTGGGTTTAACATTGATTTTAAGGTATCAAAGGTCATAGGTATGCAGTTATGTTAATCAAAAAGGCATATGCATCGGAATGTTGATATATTGTTTCAAAAATGGTTTTTTTTTTTAATCTAAACTTTAAGATGACATTTGGATCGTATGAGGTAAGATGTCGAGATTCTTCAATCAATAATTTGCTTCTACGCTAACTGTATACTAATATATTTCCTTTGTTTTAAAATAATAAATATTTTTTATTTTTATCTTATGATTAAAAATTTGAAGACAATTTATATTTTTATTTATTTTATCTTTAAAAAAATAAAAATAAAGAGATTGTTATTATAAAATAAATATT